TAGCCATGATATTAAAATTCTCTTAAAATTGCCACTGAAATAGTAAATAATATTTGAAAAATTCAATTTTAAAATAAGTTGGATCGTTAAAATTATTATAATTGTAAACTCAAATGTCAGTGCTTTACTCAGTCCAAATATCTATAGTGGTTAAAACTGTTTTGCAGCGATTAAATTGTTTCCTTACAGCAAATAACTACTTCTTTCTGTTCTAAAAATGCTACTAATTTTGTCTATTGTGCTTTATTATTTAATTAAAATAGTTTAGTCTTCCTTCCTTCTCCTTTGATATCTTGCTGTCAGCCATTTTTAGATATTTTCTTATTTAATCTACTGATTTTTAACATACATACATAGATTAAAATATAATTTGAAAATAATTCAAATAAGTCCCAATGATATATTTTTATCATGATAATGTCCAATTGCTGAAGAAAAGACTTTAATTGTTGTTTTTATAAATACTTTGCTAATTAGTGAGTTGTCATTAGAATGAATAATCATTATAGTAAGGTTAGCTTAGAGCATTAATCCCTTGATGATGAACTCGAGTGGAGAATTCATGAAGTTTAAAGTTTGTATCGAAGTCTTAAGTTATTCGAGTTTTCAAGTCATACATTTAGCATATGATCATACACATGATTTATTGATTGTACATATGATCATACAATTATATATTGTTTGCAATTAGATATGGGGAGGGGTCATCATCAAATCAGAGTTTGAACAATTTATGCCGAATTTTTACATAGGTCACTCATACATATGGTGTGTCGGTCAGGGATCAAAATAAATTTTATATTCCACCGTATCATATATATGTTTTAGGATCATCGAAACGATCTCCAAGAACTCTAGTGCAAGAAGAAGTTTGATTAGAATGAAAATTTAAGATTTGTAGGAATCAGTGGAGGCTGTTTTAGCTGTCATTCTTTGCCTATAAATGCATCTCATTATTTATCCCATGATTAAGGTTGAAGATTTTAAGTTTTGAGCTAAAACTTTGAACTTATTCTGGCAAATGCTTCAAGTGTTCATAAAAATTATGAACTTGTTATCCCACTCATGCTCTAGGCAATTCATGGTGCATGATTCTATTTTATTAAAATTTAGAACTTCAACTATTGAGATGCATAAGGTGTCCGATCTCCACCGTCGATCACCGCTTTGGTGAGATTTTTTTTTTAAATGAAAGTGGGTCCCACCGGAAGCAGTAATCTACATAATTTTTTCATTTACATACATACCACCTAATTCCGATGTATTTACACATCTAACACAAAAATTTTACAT